TTATTATTACTATTATTATTTTACACACTAACAGAGTGGAAAATGAGCTGCTGGTCTAAATATTCAAAGAGGCAGAACTCAAAACACACACAAATGAACTGACCTGGTATGTGTTGCCGGTACCGGAAGTCCCTGGGATGGGAAAGCTGCCCAGTTTCCAGCCAGTCCCTTGGTCTCCAGAAAGAGTCCACACGAGAGAGGACGCCGAACCATTCTTGAGGTAAACATTAAGGCTTCCCACATCTGTGCCATGCATGTTATAGCGAAAATTGAAACAATTTGAAACACCAGTTGCTGGAATCAACGTACTGATCAGTCGAGAAGAGTCTCCAGGCTTTCTGGGAGGATCGGAATCCGTGAATATGTAGTGACCTGAGGAATTAGGGACAATATGCACTCATTTAACACAATCTGCTAAAAAAATATATAATTAAAGTCTACTGTATGTGCTCTGTTCACAGAAGAAGAAAAAAATACTGGAATATTCACAAATGAGCTTTACTTCCAAAGTACATTCAACTTTCTGAAAATGTATAGGTTTATGGCTTCTTCTTGCTTATTTGTTTATTCTCAAGCATTTTCCAACATGATGTGGCGAAATCATATACAGTCAAACCTGCTCTTAATGGCCGCCAGTATAAGACAATCACCTTCCTATTTACCCCCTTGCATATTTTTTTACATTATTATGTCACCGAGTAAAATTTACGTCCACTTTTCACCACGACTATGGATAACCATCTCAGACAGTTTCGATTAAAATTTCCCCTGCCGCCACAGGCTATTTGTTAGCAAAGCTTGATGGGTTAATGGCTGAAGATTTTTCTTTCTATTCATCTCCTGCTGCTTCTAATGCACACAGATTTTAGTGACTGTTACCTCCACCAACAATTATCCTTCCTCTATTCATGAATCATTGTTTGTGTTCCAACTTTGGATTCAAAACTGCTACATCATATACGTTGTTGTTGTTTTCAAATTCCTTTAGCTGCGAGCATTTCGCTCTTGGCAGCGAAATGTATATAGTTGTTCCTTTGCCCTCAATCTGGTTAGCCCTGCCTACCAAACTAAAACAAACCGATTGTGCCAATGAGTACTAGGTATTGCTGTCGGTTAGGCAATTTTTATCTTGGGGGGGGGGCTCAACATTTCTCCTGTCCCTTCAGAAACATATTTCTGTGTGGATTTTACTGAAAAATGTTGATCAAAGGCACGAAAAATATTTGGCAGCCATTTTCTCACTAATCTTACCTCTGGTACTAGGCAACCCCACCTCTTTCAATCGCAAATATCGAGATTTCTTTTCAAGATACATTGGTATTTATTAATTTCATCGGAAGAGAGACAAATGAACAAACTTAAAGACAATACCAAGAACTCTATAAGCCCAAAATTTGAGGAGCTTCTGATTCCACCATGATTTGATTCGTATAATCTATGTCTTTTGGGTGATACAGAAAAAAACGAGAAAATAAAGTCTCATGTTGCTAGGACAAAATCCAACTCTTTAAGTACACGCAAAAAGGGAAACTCACTAGTAATTTCCTTTTTCTAACCATAGTTACTCACCATGACTTACAATAATAGCCATGTCTATACTTATAAAAAGACAAAGAAAAAGAAGTAAGAAAGATATCTCAGCCGTGTATGACAGGATTATTAAGCAAAGGTTATCTTAAAAGAAAATCAGAAAGGCATTTGGAATTTCTGAAAAATATACCCTTTTCCCAGGATGCACTCAATTCCGACTTGTCTCACCTACAAGGAGATTTTGCAAGTATGTCTTTCAAAAATATGTACGTACCACTGCTATTAGAAAATGTGAAATCTGAAGAAGGCCCTGTTCCATAAGTCCCTGTGCTACCCTGTCTGACAATCCAGTCAAACTGATCAGCAGGGTCATTTGAATACAGGCAAAAGTCGTTGTTCTCGAAGTCGCAAAAACCTGCAATAATAAAGGAATACTTCAATGATTGTGATATTCCAATCGAAAGAAAGAGCTGTGGAGCTGACCTACCATAGAAAACTGCATCTCCCCTCGACGCTTAACAGCAACAGAGGATGAAAAAGTAAAAGTGAGTCTATGTAATTGACAAGAATAAAGAGTCACTACACTAGATGATTTTTCAAACCAAAATGTAGATGGAGCCTGCATTAATGTTAATTTGAAGAATAAAAAACAAATTTTTTAAAACAAAGAGCTTGCTTAAAAGCAATGATTATTTTTCTGCAATAGTATTAAAAATGCAGGGAGTCATACCGATACGAGCATCTCTGTCTTAGAAACCTATTGCAAAGACAAATATTTCAAACCTAATTATCATTTCATGTAGCAAATTGTCAAATTAAATGCAAATTGTTCCTGATGAACAATACTAAACTTACCAATTGCTCTGCATTGTCCTGGTCTGATGGAAACATCATCTATTGCTACAACACTTGTTCCGAAGGGTGCTATCTGAGCCGTGAAAGAAGCCTGTCCCAAATATAGCACCCCAAAAAATACATCATTCTCTGATAGAGCACACAAACCTATATGATTTCAAAATTGAGCTTAACAATGCAAAGCATTCTCACATAAAGCACAAAAGTGTACACCAGTCCTGAACAGGCACAAAAAGCATAATATATTCCCAAAAAGAATTACAAAGATGCATATCATTTTGAAATAGAGCACTAAACATACACAAAAGTGAACATCATTCCAAAAAGAGCAAGTAATTTCCAAACAGAAATCAGCTCATTTGCATTTAATTAATTGCTAAGATATTCACTCAAAATAGAATCAGTATAATTACAGGAGACTTACATCCCCCTATTCTCACTGCTCTTTTTTCATTTTCACAAGAAATGTTTTAAATGATAATATTAAATAGCAATTATATAAACCTCCTTCCCTTTAAGAAAAAAGCTCTGAGAGCTGTACAATCATTTACAGCAGACAATTGACAGACACAAAAAGAGCAAACAAACAAAAAAAATCAAGCAAGAAAAGTTTGAAATAAATGAGAATGATCTGGTTTCCTAAAGCTCTTTTAAAAATTTCAGTATCTTTCATACATTTAATGACGTATTTTATATATAGAAGTGTGTTGATGATTGCAGATAACAATAATAATAATTGCATTTACATAACGCATATCCATGCTCTACAGCTTGTTCTACGTGCTTTACAACCCGTATTACCCCAGCAGACCCTAGAACACTCAGAAACATTCTTCGCTTTCCTGGAAACATACAGAGCAAGCTGCAAGCTGCAGATTGCACGCACTCAAACACTAACAAAACTGACAAGATCTTTCTTTGTCTACATCCGAGTAGGTATTTGTACCTGGGTGAAGTGAGGAAAATTTGTCGTGTAAAGAGCCTTTTCTACAGACACAGTGTAGGGTCCCTGACAAGATCCGAACACATGACATTCTTATTGCATGTCCAAGATCCTAACCACTAGGCCACTAACGCCACAATATTCTATTATTTTTTTAAATTAAAGTAGCAGTGATGCCTACCAAAGAACAAGCAAAATGACAAACCTGAATTTGTCCACTTCCTGTCGGAATATTCACTTGACCAATCATCCACGTATTGACTGGTGATCGCCCTGACCAAGACACCCCTGTTGATGATGGACTTCCAACAACTACGCTTAGACTTCCGGTAGATCCAGGTATGGTATACCAAAACTGCAAGCAACGTTGACTGCTCGATCGAGGAAAACTGGGGCTAACAAGTTTCGCTCTCTGGGCCCTACCTCTGGTTCCAGAGACGCGAGCCACAAGAAAGTGCCCTGGCAAAATTTATTTAAACATGTTGTTAAAATAAACGAAAAGATTGTTAAATTGTCACTCTATTTCATTCAAAATAAAGATTTTGAAGCAAAGTTTGAGTCTAATTTTGCTTACATTTGCTTTTCTTCACCATCTGGTACCACAATAATTTTTAAGTTACTACATGAGTATAGTACACTTTGAAATCTGCGATTCATTAACAAAAGGCAACTCAAGATTGTGTATCTGAGTTCAAGCCCTACGGCTTGAATAGAGAAATAAATTCCGCTACCTAAGAGTTGAAGACACTTTGTTCTTGTCAGTCCACTACCTAACCAGACGCAAAGGAAGTGTCAGTCAAAAAAGTAAAATTTAAAAAACAAACAACAACAACAAAGAAATGAGACGGAAGAATAACATAAAGACAAGTGTTTTACTGACCTACCATTGGTGGTTTGAGTCATGTGGTCAGTACCGTGGGGGGGAGACAAGTTTTTTGTCTGTTACTTACCATTTGTGGTTTGAGTAGTGGGATCAGTACTGTTACTTTCCACTGACGGAGTAGTGTGAGTCCCGCTCATAACTAACTGTGCCTGATCTCCAACAGGGAACTGCTGCTTTTTCTTTCCTAATCCTTACTATTGTAATTTTCCTCTACTTCTTTTGTACGTTTGTCACACTCTTGTGACCTGCTATTTTCGGGGTGCCTTGATAGTTAAAGCACACTTTGTGCTGTTGAAGCTAGAGAGGTGAGCAGAGTAAGTCTGATTTCCCTGTAAAGACTTTTCTGTTGACACCCACCCTTTGACGCTCATATGACCTTATGCAGTTGTGAGCGGTGTAAAGCCCTCTACTAAAACTAAGAGTAGTGTGATCAGTGACAGGAAAAGACAAATGTTTCACTATGACTTACCACTGGCGGTTTGAGTCGTGTGGTCAGTGGCAGGAAAAGAGCCAGCCCTCCAGGTCCAGTTGAAGTTACCCGCAGAGTCAAATTTGTATCCACAAATACTAGAAGTCTCAAAATCACAAGCGATTGAAGATGATCCAGCTGAAGAAAAAGTGCAGTGTGAGGAAAGTTCAGCATTTACAAGAAAATACTTAAGATGACTCTGCATAGCTGTCTGGAAACAGTTAATTTCCAAAATCTCAGAAATGCATTCTAGCACACATACAATGTGTATGTGTGTGCCCGTGCCTGTTCATTATGAACATTCACATAGCCACACTCATAGCAATCATGTTTTTAAATCTCGAATTTTTTCTGATGCATGCATTTCTTTGTATTTAAAACATGTGCAGTGTGTAAAAGAAAATTCTTACATAATGAAAAAATTACTGTATCCCATCAATTTTGCTCTCTGCATGCCAAACTATATTTTCATTTAATCTGGCATTCTTTGAGAAACAGAGCCATTTCATACAAACAAATTTAGAAAAGTTATACCTCGTACCCTTTATCTACTCTTTCTCGGGTATACTGATGCACTAAATTTGTAGAGGCAGTTCCCTGTGATTAGTGGTAACTGACATTGTATCATTACTTTCTTTACTATTTTCATGCACTCCATTTGCCATGATTTCACCTTTCCATGACTATAATTATAATGGGTTGTTTTTTTTAGCCATACTTACTACAAAAGGTGAGACAACTAAACTAACCAGATTGATCTTCTACAAAATAATCCAACTTGAGTTCAACTAATGTCTCTTAAATGGAAAATCAAGGTAGGCTGGGGGGGGTGAGGGGACAAAAGTTGATAAATAGCTTCCCTGACCCTTAATAATAATAATAATAATAATAATAATAATAATAATAATAATAATGGATTGCATTCATAGTGCATATCCACTTATACAATGCTCTATGCACTAAACATGAAACATATCATGGATTTACACATCAATTTTATAGGCACGTAGTATTACATATGCGTGCACACACATACTCATGCACTCACGCACCTTCACACACTTACATACTCACAGACGAACATACGCACATACAAACTCATGATGGTCTACAGCTTGGATGGATTCTGTGTAATCGAAATATGATTAAAACATTTCTTTTGATACTTTGTTATGTTTCATACTTAAATAGTCACAGTCTATAACTTTACTCTTAGTCTTAGACACATAACATTCATCCAATACATCCCATCTAGAGGACAATTATGGAAACATAAATTATTTTCTTCTACTGAAACTATTACATCAAGAATTAAATATGAACATTTTCTCTTTTTATACTGAATCTCACCTGCTTGACAAGGACCAGAATTTTTAAATACAATATCATCAATGGCAATGTCTCCTTTGATTCCAGTCCCTCTCACTGCTTCTATTTTTATCTGGAAATGAAACAAATTTTAAAATCTCACATCTATGGGAAAAAACCTGTGATTTTTTTCTCAAAAAAACACCAAAAATTTATTGTGACATAAATTTGAAAAATAAGAGAAAGGACTTTTCAAATACACAACATCAAGAAGATTACATCTGTCAAAAAAATATAACAAAGAGTAAAATTAACTCAATTTGGTACAGCACCATAGCACATCATAGTGTAAGTAATGTATGGTTTTATTTCCAAAGTATTTTTATTATAATATCAATTTACCACTTTCGCAATGCACCCCACAGGGCGAAATATTGAACTTAGATATTTTTTACAGTGCAATGAATATTGAAATACTCAGGTCTCTACCAATTTTTAGCTTTTTATATTATCGTGCTTACAATTTGATGATGATAATGATGATGATGATGATGATGGTTTTGCTTCCTTAATGGGCCTGGTGGACTCCACGATGAAATCTTCTAGCTAGAGCGAGGCTCTTTTTTGGCTCCATTGTCAATATACTTAGAGGCACCTCCACTCGTCGTAGCCACTCTCTCTCGAATTGCCATTGTTCCTGGACATTCAAACTTATGTTTGACATCCTCCATTTCATGGCTGCATCTTCGGCAACATGGCCTGAACTCTTCATTTAAAAAGTTCTTATACCATCTCAAGCTCCCATGATGGTCCGACCGCAGTCTCACTAGCTCAACTTGGTCCCAGCGACATGTGATACTTTGTTCCTGCTTATTGGAGTACCCAGAATACACATCTTCGAGATGATGATGATGAAGATGATGATTGATAATGCTGTCCCCGTGGTTTTATGCACCCCCCATAATTTAGCAAAATTTGATCATTTTTTACTTAATTTCTGATTATTTTCCTTTATCATTCTTTGTTAAAATTAACAGATTCGTATAATTTCATATTTTTTGGCTCAGTTTGCAAAATTTTCAGAATTTTTCTTGCTTAAAATAACAGGGACAGGTAATGGTGGGGGTGCTGAGGATTTGTACTTTTCTAAATAATGATGATGGTTTTTTTTGTTTCCTTAATGGGCCTGGCAGACTCCACAAGAAATCTTCGAGCGAGAGTGAGGCTCTTTTTCGGCTCCATTGTCAATATACTTAGAGGCACCTCCACTCGTCCAAATAACTCCATTCGCATCGATGATGATGATGATCATCATCATCATCATCATCATCTACATCATCATTGGTAATGGTGGTGATGCTGAGGATTTGTACTTTCTTAAACGATGACGATGATGATGATGATGATGATGATGATGATGATGATGATGATGATGATGATGATGATGATGTTTATGATGATGATGATGATGATGATGATGATGGCAAAAACGTAAACGCCTAAGAAATATTTTTCTCCACCTCCTTTCAAAAATTTTAATTGTGCATTATAATGTCCATCTTTAATCATCGTCTCACTACACTTGTTTGGGCTTTAGAAAGGCCCCCTAAAGATACAGAGAAAAAGAGAAACTTACAGAAAAACTGGAACCGGCAGACACATCCACGCTGGCCTGCTTCCAAATATTGTTCTGGTTCCCGTTACGATTCCATATAATCTTGTTTGTAGGACTAGGTCAAAGAAACATCAACTTCAAATTACAATCAACAGAGTTGTTGAGATCACAAAAAAGGGGATTAATGGTACTATAACACGAATGCTTTAGATTTCTTTGACCCTTTTCATCACATTTACTCAATAAGCTGTAATGGTGGCATAATACGTGTGTGTGTGTGTGTGTGTGTGTGTGTGTGTTTGTGTGTGTGTGAGTCAGCATGGTGAAATCAGGTGCTCTTCAAAATATTGAAAGTCAAGAAACTGGCATTTTTGGGGGCAGGTTAGGGGATTTTTATCTGATTTTTTTTCTCAGCTAAACACCTTTCATGCCCATTAAAGAACACATTTCTGTTTGTAATTTACTGAAATACGTTGATTAAAGGCATAAAAGATGTAAAATTTCAGTTTCCACGGTCTCTCAAGCTTAGGAAATAACTCAACTATGGTGGCCATTTTCGCCCTAATTTTACCTCTGAACCAGGCTGCCCAAACCTCCTTCAGTCACCAATATCTTGACTAGTACCCAAGATAAAGGAATATTTTTTTTCATCAGAAGAAAGGCAAATGGACTGGCTTTAAGATGATACCTATAACCCCACATGCTGACAAGCGCCTGATTCCACACACACACACA